CTAGAAGTGGCTTGAGATCGAGGCGCTTTCAATGTGATTTGGAGCGTTCAGATGGAGCCAGTTGAAACCGGCTCCGGGGTAAACCACATGTAACATGTAAAATAAACAAAGCTTCTTGGGTGACTTCACATAAACACGGCCCAATTCTGGATCTGCAGGGTCGTCCGCACTGCTCGCAGCTGAACTGGAACAGACTCTGCTCCCTGGTCACTGCTGCTGCTGCCGCTGCTTTACGTCTGTGTCTAGCCTCTTCAATGTGTGCAACAAGTGTGCACAATTAGGCTAATTATCCTCTGAATATTTCATGAGACAGTATTTCTGCGTGCATCGGTGTCATTAAAAACTCACACATTCCGCTGGAGAAATGTAAAAGGAGGTAGGGTGTAGCCACGAAATGGCCGCTGTCAGGCCGGGTGTGGGAGAATTGGTTGCTTTAGCAAACTGGAGGGCCTCTTTTTCTGTGGCTTATTATATGAGAACAAATAGTCGACGATCGGTGTGCCCAAAACTCGTTTCTTCTTAGAACTATCGTAATAGTGGAACTTCACAAAGTGCAGTTGGGTATTATCACTAGATAGCTTTTGAAAACAACGTTTCCAGTTAGATAAGATAAATAAATGTGAAAAGGTTAGGTGTAATATATCAGCTGTTTTCGAACTGCATGCCTGTGAAGTTAGTGTGTTACGCCAAAGGGATGTTATACTGGCTGTTCAGATACATACGACTAGAGGTAGTTGGCGTGCCAGGTTCTTTTTTTCCACCTGTTGCGTCGACCTTTTTAATTCTGTTCACCCGTCTGCGTCTAACCTACTACACAAAAGACGAAGGTCACGCCCAGATACGAGCTGCTGTATAACAATAGCCAGACGACAGCATTGTGACTCACCTCACCTCACCTCACCTCACCGGTCCCATAGCAGTCTGTCCTGCCGTCGGGGCAACTGTGAGTCTTCTGCATGCATGATATTTGAAAAATAAAAACTATCCTTAAAAATTTATTTCTTGGTAAAAAAATATTAATTTCTTTTGATAAGTAATAGAAGCGTACATACATTAAGGACGATGCAAAAAATGCATTACTTGGCTTACTAGTAATGTATGAATTAAGATCTTATTCCGCAAAATAAATGCTTGTGCGTTTGTCCTTGTTTCCATGACGTCACGAAATTTGGGCGTTGCGCAGATCCGAGTGTTGGCAACAGAAGCGCAGAGCGCCGCGTCTGGGCGGCCTTGTTCCGCGCAGTGGGAGGATCTGTTTTTGCTTTTCTGTGTCTTACAAAAGAAAATACGGACGTAAAAAAGCAGTTGGGTTGTTGACGTACCGGGCTGTGACACCAGTCACACGGGCCTCCTAGCGTCTGCTCCCGAAGACTCTGAAGAACGCGCCCGTTGGAAGGATGGCTCCACGGCACGACGTTTTCGTCTTTTTCATCTGCTGCGTCATTCTTCTCTCTGCTGCAGGTGTAACAGGTAGGCTGTGTCGCTATCATGGAAAGAACGCTTTTATCGAAAGGGAGCGCATTAGTCAACTATTCGCGCAAGTAATCCCGAGTCGACATCTTCGACGCCAGGCGGCAAAAGCTGGCGCCTGGTGTCTTCTACATGCTACATGTTGTATCCGGTACCGAGTTTTATCCAGAATCATGCTCAGGCACGGTTCTGTGAAGACTAGTACTAGAACCGTACCTGATCCTATCCCTTTCAGCCTTCAGACATAGAACTAGATAGGCACTGGATCATGGATGGATACGATACCGTCTTTTTTGGTGTCAAGAAATGCCATAATAGAACTGCTGCACCCGCGAAATAATACCGCATTTTTTTTCAACCTTTATTTCACCTTGAAAATGTACAGTACAATTGTGTAGCAGTACAAACTCTTCGGCCTAAGCCGTTTTTCAAGAGGTCAAGGGGAGGTAGGTTAGTGGTCTTTGCAAATTCTTCAGTTCAGTTACAATCAGTCGTATAATTACAATATAAATATATACAAAGTATACAAAAACCAAACACTATCTCGGTTCGTATAACTCATCAGGATCATGCATCCAAATTTCAGTTCACAAATTTGGTCATTCTAATTTCTAACTTGTGACTTGGCGCAGCCGCATGTACATGTATATGCAATACGGTTTAGTAGCGGAAGGATTTT